ATGCAGTTGGATGTGTAGCTGACTGTGAAGGTTGAGGTATACCCTGTTTAGGTTTAGGTACTCATGCCCACTCAGGTGCGTATTGTGTGATGCCTTCTATTCAGGTTGAGACCCCCTTCATAGCCTAGTGAGAGTCCAGTAGTGTGGATATATTTATGTACGGATTATTAGTTATTGTTGAACTATTTAGTATGTACATGCGTATCGAGTCTCTGCTTGGATTGTAGTAGGATAGAACTTGTTCGTGGGCCTGACCTACTCCTATTTTTCAGGTGTACGTCAGTTCCAGGCTTGAGCTTGTTCGTGCTGAGCAGAGACGATCTTCCATTCTACCGACGATATAAGATTTCTTTCCAGATCTTGGATTTGGATTTTATATTCCATTTTACTTTCATTCAGTGTGAGATTTTATTAGGGGTCCACTAGAGATGAATTCCCGAGTTGTTCAAATTATGGATTTTTGGTTTATCAGATTTAAGTATTTAATTATTTAAGGATTATCTTTTAGTTTTCTTTTCAGCTTTAAACTTTTATTCTTAAATTCATATTTTTGTATTCTGTGTTCGTTATAACACATTAATTGTTTGATATCCCTCAGGTTTGGGCCTGGGCTTGATCAACCCGTGTCTCGGATCCGAGGGGTATCACAGGGCATTCTCTGCAGCTTTCCTTTTCAAGGCTTCATGGGGAAGCTGTCGAATGATGGAAGTGAGAGGTCCATGAGATCAGCGGTTACAGCTTTGGAAGCAACTGCTTTAAGACTCACAGAAGTGAGTAAGCTCTCGACCGAGGGAGGGTATTTCCAAACCTGCCCTTCCAGGAAGGAAAGCCTTTTCTTGGCAGCCAAAGAAGGAAGTGTCGCTGCAAAAACACCAAGAAACTCGTAAATATATCGAAAGAATAAGACTCGACGTGGGAAACAGCCAGAACAATCTTCATGAAGAAAGGGGGGATGTTCTATACATAACTTCCCGAACTTGCGAGAGATTGGGAGTTTACTTGATTGGGGCACGGCCCATTTCCTTTTAACGATTATCATCCTCTCTTTCCACTTCTTCTCAGAAGTAGGGAGGTCTGTATATATCCTTTGGTGCAAGGGGGAAGTGAAAAAGAAACGACAAGGTTCGGTCCCATGCTTAGAAATAGAATAAGTAATCAGCAAGTCAGCCAGAGTCAGGTCAAGACTCTCCTGCCACCGGCGAATGAGAAGTGCCGAGATTACTAGAAAGAAGTTAGGGTTTACTTGCAGGGGTGCAATCCCCAATTTGTTGAAGACTAAGTGATAGAAAGGATGAAGGGGGAACCTAAGAGCGTTGAGATGCCCAACAGAAAGGAGCAACTTGTCTTCTCCGACGCCCTCACCGGCGTAAAAATCAGCGCCTTTGGGGTATTCTGCAATTTCTACCCCCTCGGGAATCTCGAATTCTTCCATTACGGATTCAATGGAGAACGGGATGCGACGAATAGATAAAATTGCATTCCTTTCTTCCTTAGTGAGGATATTGTCTGACCCAGAGGTGGATGTTTCAGCCTGGATCGGGGAAGCACCCGGCTGATTAACAGAGTCATTTACAGGTTTAAGGAAGTTCGAAACCCTAGGTGGGGGAACTCTAATGAGATTAGGGGAAGACGAGGGAGTGGACTCAGAATCTATGATCTCTATACGCTCAGGAGTAGTCGAAGTACTCATAATGTAAGATTGGAAGAAAGGAAAGAAGAACTAACCTGGAGATATGAAGAGTATGAAGAACGCAGTAGATAGAATGAGCACACTGAGAACAAAAGTAAGTCTTAAAGAAACCCTTGAGTCAGAATAACAATATACGCGAATGGAAACGCATCGTGCGAGAATGACGACTACACGACTTCAATTCCCCTTTAATTAGGAGCCGTAACCAAATTAAAGAGGAATTGGGGGGCAAAGTGTGGAGGGAAAAATCTCCCTCCAATGAGAATAATCCACATCATCATAAATATAAACTTATCCATGATGAGTTTATGAAGCCCACCTCGCTCAAACCCAAATTGAGTTTGAGGCTAGTCCAAGATCACTATTCACAAGTCCAATACTATTGTTATTTGACCTTCAGTCCCGTTGAAGCCCAAATCAATAGATTATTAGCCCAACATGGCAACATCAAACATTCAGGCCGTTATTCAAGCCCAACTGGTTCAAGGTGTATTCAGCCCAGTTTTCCAAGATTGGACAAATCCTATTGGTAGAAAGATTTATCATAAAAGGAGAATTCTTTTATGGGAAGTGCTATACAAGGCAAGTACTATGTAGGAAATATTAAGTCATGTATGGGAAGAATTGGAGGACAAGCAACGCGACCTTAATTCTACCAATTTGTGTATATAAATAGAGGCCCAGACCTCCAATAAAGCAAGCAATTCTACGCTTCTCTATTCTTATTTATTTTTACTGTTCTTGAGTGTGTTGTATTATTTTTTTCAATTATTATTGGTTGGGCGGAATTTTGCACCTACAGTGGGTGTCATCATGAGAATTGAACAATAATTTGGGTTTTATTGTGAACACTTCACATTGCATGTTAGATAACCTCACGATAGAATTATGATGCCAACCCAATATGTGCAACACTTTGTACTCGTTCTTTGAGGGATCATATTCAAAAGAATAACAAGAATAGTATTTGGTACGATTATTCGGATTACCTTCAAGATTCATATTCGAACTATCATAATCACTTATCGGAGGATCATAATCACTTGAAGGTAGGATTTTGAATCTCCGGGTGCTAGGGTTGATGACATAGACCCTTCTGCCATTGTAGAAACATACTAATCCGTTAAGGGATTCGGAAACATAGCACTGGCAGGGCATTTTGGCTTTCTTACAGCCGGGCAGTGACAGAAGGTGGACTGCTGGCCCTCCTTCAAGACTAGCAGAATTAAAGTAATGCTTCCTGTCAGAGCCCGGGAAAGACATAAGGATTTGGGGTACTTCACAGGGCTGAGTTTGAGAATTGCTCAAGTAGTGCAGGTCCGCAAAGGAAGGGCTGTGGATGGTGGCTTACTAGTTTTTGCAGACGGATTGGAATCTCGAGAGGGACTTCGCGGGGAGTCTTGAGTATCTCTAAGATTATATCTTCTGGAAGTGGAGGAATGTCGACAATGGAATTACTTCTTTTGTTGTCGTTAGTCTTTTTCTTTTATTCTTTTCCATTGCTCAGTTTCAGAACATGGTTTTCTGAGTGCAACTTGCAACTTATATATAGACTCGTGTTTTAACCTAATGTTTCTCAAATTAGGGTCTGGTTTTTCTTGCCGCCGCATAGTTGGAGTATGTTTAGGAACTTGCAAGCTACGGATTAGCAATCTTGTATATAAAAAACTTTCCTTATTTTAAACTTTCCTAAATCAACAAAATCATTATTTTTTAATTAAAAAAAAAAGTTATATATATTTATTTCCAAACTCACATATTTGTGGCTTATAAATAAGTGCGTTGAAATTTGTTTATATTGAAATATTAATACTATAAAATTTTAAAAACAAAAATATAACTTTACATTGATTGAGGCTGCTGGAGCCTTAGGCGGTCACCTAAGCAGGCCCTCAAATTTTTTTATTGCATGTTACTTTTCTAAAATTTTTATTTTCTCCTCAACCAATCGGAGAGGCCCCAAATTTTTTTTATTTTCTTAAATTATTATACGCCCCCAAAAGTTTTATTTCCTTCTATGAATGACCTTCATAAAATTTTTATTTCCTTATTAAATCTCAACCAATAGCAGAGATTTTTATTTCCTCTTGTACAAATTCTAAAGATTATTACTTATCCAAAAAAAAAAAAAAAAACACCAAAGATTTAGTTCCTCAAATTCAATTTCTGGTGTTCTGCACATTGGAGTTCTAAGGGATTCCTGGTGCACAAATTATTACTCTCTGCTGCTGTCTACTTCCTAAGGATGGAGAGAAATAATCACTGCAATCATTTCTCAGATAAAGAAATGCATCGGAGGGAAGCTGGCCTCAATTAAGCTAAAGAAGGCTTCTGATTTGAGGAATGTTAGAAGACTTGAGGACTTGCCTATGCTCAGACACTAGCTGCCACTTAAGCTTGGCTGCCTTGAGTAGAAATGTCTACTGTTGCCAGTTCCAGTAGCTTATAAAAGCTTGATTTGGCCCAAATCAATTTGTGTAATGTTGGCAGATTGAAGACCTGAAGATGCTTTCTTGGATGGTTGCTACTTAAGTTTGTATTGCATTAAGTTTGCTTGTACTTGCAGAAGCCTAGTTCTGTAACTTGCTATGTAATTTGTTTGCCGTGTTTGGCACCTAGCCTTCGTATTTGGCTCAATTCTTTGGGTGTCCCGTTTTAATCTACCATATCTAACTGAATGAGATTTCTCATAGATTTATCCCATTTTTTCGGGTTAACCAAAAGAGGTTAATTACATGAGTTTCAAAGTTAAACTTTGATTAATAATCGGTTTTAGTTTTATCTTTTCTCCCACCTTCATAAGAATAAAGCATAGGCATTTTCCCCCTATCGTTAGAATTTTATGAAAGGTAACTATCTCGGTTTCATATAGAAATTTATATAGAATCTTTGAAAAAGACTTTCCAAAAAAACTGTAGTAATTAAACTAGATGGTTAAAGTTTTGAGACTGTTCTATGGTTTGATACAAATCAAGGAAGCATTTTATTCTCCCACATTTTTTTTAAAATATAAGTTGTTTCTTATTTCCATTACCTGCACTGTTTTTATGGATGAATGGGATTGCTAAGATGCAATTTTTTATTTTTATTTTTTTACACTTTTTTCCCCGGTAAATCTCAGATTCAATTGCATGCTCTGCAACAACCTTCTTCAATATCTACTTTACAATTTGACCTGAACCATTCATATACTCAACAAATGGAAAACACAAAAGTAACTACAAACTTCAGAACATAAGTTGCATTACAATTCAAAACACAATTTATTAATTAGTAATTGTTTTCATTTGTACGTTACAACGATGAAGTATCAATATAAACGAATGAGGCGATCCACATAATTTGTGATACTAACATTGCTACATACTACACCAGCACCATAGTTAAGTACCTCATCAATTCTAATAGGCCTAATAGGCCTAGAAGCCTTATTCCTATGATCCCAAGAAATATGTTGTGATTTTGAAATGTTCAGTATCTCACTGCTGAACTCAGGATTAGAATATGACGAGAAGGTGAAATGTATTTCATACTTTTGTGGAGCCACAAGAGTCTTCTGAACCCACATGTTGTGACAATCCTCTAATACCCATATTTCTATGTCACTGCCATCACAATCACTATCGTTCAATAGAGCCAAACGCCCTCCAATTTGTCTCAAATTATACTCGGGAGAAACACCACCAGGAAGTGGCAACGATCGGAACTTTTCGCTAGCCACATCAAAAACCACCAGAACTTCACGTGGAGCCTTCCTGCAGATCCAATGTATCGCGCCATTGACACAAACACCTTGTCCTCTGAAAGTATAAGGATATGGTGGGACATGGGCGATTTTTCTCCATGACCATTCTTTGGGTTCCTCTGAACCAACCTTTATTGTGAAAACTTCGCATTGCATGTCAAATAAGCTCAAGCAGTACAATGGACGCATACACATTATGTGCAACACTTTGTACTCATTCTTTGAAGGGTCAAATCCGAAATAATAAAATTCACATTCAAAGCGTTTAAAATTACTTGCCGGTAGGGCTCTGAATTTCTGAGTGCTAGGGTTAATGACACAGACAAGACTGTCATGGTAGAAACATACTAATCCGTTAAGGGATTCTGAAACATAGCACGGGCTCCTGCAGTTGCCGGGCAGCCACATAAGGCGGACCGCCTGCCCTCCTTCAAGACTTGAAGAATAGAAGTAATGCTTCGAGTCAGGAAGCGAGAAAGACACAAGGATTTGGGGTTCACAAGGCCGAGTTTGAGATTGGCTCAAGTGCAGGTCCACGAAAGAAGGGCTGTCGATGATGGTGGACCATCTTTTGCAGACTGATCGGAATCTGAAAAGGGACTTCACGGGGAGTCTTAAGAGTATATCTAAGAACAATTCATCTGGAACTGGAGGAAGAGCCTTGCTTTTTGCTCTTCTTGTTGTAGATCGATTAGGGTTTTTTGAGGAGGGTTTCTTGGCATCATAACTTCTTTTGTTGTTGTTAGTCTTTCTTTTTTGCTTCTTTCCCATTGCTCAGTTTGAGAATATAGTTTTCTGTGTTGCAAGTTACAACTTATATATAGAGTTGCGTTTCATCCCGAAGTTTCTCAAAATTAGGGTTTTGGCCGAGTATGTTTGGGATTTCTTGTAGCGCACGCCGATTGCACAAACTCACAAAATTAGGGTTTTGGCCGAGTATGTTTGGGATTTCTTGTAGCGCACGCCGATTGCACAAACTCAATGCAGGTCTTTATCCGTAATCCAGAAGCAGCTCTTTTGGGATTTTTTTTTTTTTTTTTTTAATCCAACTAAATCGGTGCTAATTATACACTACATTTGTTCCACAAAAAGTGGCTCTTTTGGAAAACAAACTTTTTAATAGTATATATTTTATTATAATGGGCCAAATAAACTTTAATTGCTTTTACACCTTCAAGATAGTGAGATTAATTATGAATATTTAAAAAGGACAATACTTGATTTACAACATGTTATCTTTAATTACCAAATCAAAGATGATGGGTAGATTCTCACTTACCCAAATCACACATATATATATAGTGATTTAATTACCATTTATGATTTGATAATTAAAATAGGATATGTATATTTGCCATTTGGTCTATCTCAGTGGTCAGTATGTTGTAAATATTCACTAGTGAGGACTGAAGAGCTAAGTATTTATTTTAAAAATATATTATATTGAATTTTGAATTGAGACAGGCAAAAAAGAAGGAGTAGTGATACTCACACTGAACACTTGCAGTGAGTTTCCTAACCAAATAATTTTTAATTTGCTATTTATACCAAATACAACTAAGTACTTTCTTATTTGTTGTACAATTGACTAATTAAAAGAGTAGGTTTAACAATTCAATACAACTATTCGGTGCAAGAATTATTTCCCAAAAAAGAAAGTGGGAGGGAAGAAATATATATATATATATATATATATATATATATATATATATATATATATATATATATATGGGTAATTTGCACTCACACTTCTATATATTGAAATTAAAAATTTTAAAAAAAAAAAAAATTGCACCCACACTCCCTAGGTTTGCAATAAAGGCAAGTAAATACAACTTATGGAGAGTGTGATCTAATGACCTTTAGGTTTGCAAACTTAAGCAACTACTCTTCCAACCATGATAAGAGTACATAATTGCAGTTTGACTTCTGAATCGACTCTTCCAAATAATTAAATTACAATATTAACATTTATAAGTCTTTTAATCGCAAGAGATCGACTATTTTACCCTTTCTCATTAAATTTTTATTCTGTATTATCATTTCTTTTAATATTAATTATACTATTTACCTTAATTTTATTATTAATATCAATTTGTCATAAAAATAATAAAAAATAAATAGATTTGTATATATCATTTCTAAAATGATTAACTTATTGTTAAAATTTTATTATTTATAATAAAACTTATTATACCAGTTTAAAATTTTTTATCATAGAAAATACCTTCATTTTCATACAATATATTGTTGAAAAATTAATAAATTATTGAAATAAAAAATATCTTCTTTTTTCATGTAATATATTCATGAAAATAAGAAATTTATTAAATTATTTTAAAATTTTCTACTTAATTTTTTAGTTAAACAATTAATTTAAAAAATCAAGGGTAGATTTATGGCAATTTAATAAGGAATATGTTATCAAATTAGTATGATTTTTATTTTTCATAATTTATTTCAATAAAAAATATAGATTAAGTGTAATTCAATAAGAAAGGGCATTGTGGTCATTTAATGATATATAGTCTAGGCATTGGGGCATATTGTAACAAAATGTGATAGGTCATGAGGTAATATACCTAAAATATAGTTCAGGGAGATTATTTGTAAATTCAAAGATAGTTCAAGCGGTTTTTTTGCACTTTACCAAAAAAGTTAATATTGTAATTTAATAATTAAAATTGGTTAATTCAGAAGTTAAAGGGCAATTACATCTTCTTATTATGCTTTGGGGTGTTGTTCAAGTTTGCAAACTGGGGGACGATTGGATCACACTCTCCCAAAGTTGTATCTACTTATCTTTATTGCAAATTGTAAGTTCAAATTACCCAATATATTTATAATAATATTAATACTATAATTATATAAAACACATATAGGCATCTAGTTCAACGATGAACTAATTCGATCTTGGGTTGGTAGGAAGGAAGAAAATTGGATGGAAGAGAGAGAAAATGAGATGAATGAGATATCCCTAGTAAAAAGATTGTGTACTTCTTTTTTTTTGTTTGATTGGTTGAAAAAGAAGAGAATGAAATAATATCTTATTTTATTGTTAGGAGGGAAGAGAAGAGAGTGTGTTAATTATAAGAAAAGTTTTATAATTTTTACTTATTTATTTATAATGCCTTGCCTTTTTCCTTCGCGTCTACCGTCGGACGCACAAACGCTAGGTAGCCAAGTACGGAACGGATAACTGCTGAAAACATCTAAGTAGTAAGCTCATCCCATGATGAGTGCTCTCTTATTTCGACTTCCCCAGAGCCTCCGGCAGAATAGACGATACAATTAACGACGAGTTCTCTGCCCCGCGGGGATGGAGTGATAGAAGTTTTGAGAATCCAAGAGAAGGTCAATGCAAAATGAGCCATTTAACATTATGATAGGTGTCTAGTGGAAGTGCAGTGATGTACGAATTACCTATTCAATGATCAACTTTGGCGTTGGACGTTCCTAAAATGGGTATTTGTGATACTCCCTGATTTTAGAGTAATGAGTTAATCAAGTCCATGTCCAAAACCAAGGGATATCAAACAATTAAGGTAATAGACGAAACATGGAATACAAAATGAATAAATAAGAATTAAATAAATAAAGTTGAAAGAAAACTAAAATAAATAAATGAAAAAAATCCTCTATGAATAAAATCCTTTAATCCTCAAAGAGAAATTCTAAAAAAAAATACATGCAACTCAGGAATCCTCAAACATGGACCCCTAATAAATCCCATAACTAATAATAAATTAAAAAAATGAATGTATGAAAAACTGGAATAACTAAACAGAAGATAAAATCCTGCGTCGATAACACTGGAATAGTGATGATGCCAAGTCTCTGATCTGTCTGAACAATTGCTAATCTTGTTACTGACGAGGACCTCAAAAGTATAACAATGGTGGGTCAAAACCCACAACAAATTCTTTCTACGACAACCCAAACAAAGAGCTGAAGAAACTATACATTTATAGTTAACATGCAATAGCAACATAGTCGATAAATATATATAAATACACACACTAAAGACTCTCACTAAATTAAGGCATACTCAACCGTGTATTGGGTATCTCATGCAAATCACACATAAAGGTGGTCACGAATCCTCCTTCTACCAGGGCACACACATCCTTAATTCAGCTACCCATCTCAATTGACAATATACGCTTCACTCCTAACCACTGATCTTGAGATCTCACGTTCATATCGTGGTATATATATATATATATATATATATATATATATATATATATATATATATAAATCAATATCCTATCCATAACAATAAAATAAACTATTCGCCATATCCTTTCAATGGCATGTCATTCACATGGTTCTGTGACCTAATACAAAGAGATGAGACTGAATTTATTAGCCAGCCCATTCACATAAACCAAAATAAAGCCATATCCTAACAACAGCATACATAGAACCAAATCCTGACATTGGTCCTCAAGCAAATCCCAACACACACACACACACATATATATATATATATATAGATTATGTCCTAAGATTATAAAATATAGATATGTAATTGATTATAATCATATCATATCATAACAACATATAACAAAATATCATGTCATGAAATCATAGGAATGACTTATAATTTATTTAAGTTTAATTCCTACATCATATATCTCATATAAACTAAATCTTAAGCATGCTGATAGTTTATTTTACAACTGTTGATGTGAAAATCCTCGTGACCCGAAACGACGGTGTTTACTTAGAAAATAACGGGATGTCATCTCGAATGGAACCGATGGGGTGTCGGCCGAGGACCCTCTGACGATCAATTTAGTACTTGTAATCGTATGACAGAAGAATTAAATCTGTATTGAGTGTTTGAGGGTATTTTCTCGTACCAAATTTAATAGCTCGATGCCCTATTTATAGCTGCCGATTAGAATCAAGTCGGTTCAGTCTACTTCGATGGTTGAGATCTGCTTTCTCATTATTAACGGAGTTGGTTGAGCATATGTCGATTAGGAAGATTATGTTGATCTTCTTTAACTGATCTCCTCTTTTCTCCACAACTAAATGAATGATTTATGCTCTTTTCAACGAAGTTTAAGGAAACAGTTCATGACTAAGGGCGGCGGTCCAAGTTAGGGTTATTTTCCCTTATCAGTTGCCCCTTATTTCCTGGTTTGGAATGGACTAAGAAATATCAATATATATATATATATATATATATATATATATATATATATATATATATTTTACCCCGAATACTATTCCGAAGTCGATCGACAATACCTCAGGGTACTGTTCCTGAGGTATTCAAAAAATTTCACGTGAAAAAGGTGTGAGTTAAAATTCCACATTTTGTACTTGATTCTCTGTGAAATCCAACATTTTTTCACCTAGGTTTCCCGAGGTGAACAATTTCACATCGGTTATATTTCCCAGGGTGAATACTAAGTGGAATTTTTTTTTTTACCTCGGTTACTATTCCCGAGGTATCCAAAAATTTTCACGTGATAGGGCGTGAGTTCAAATCCCACCACGTGATTGATTCTATTTGGAATCTAATTTTTTTTCACCTCGGGTTACTAAAAATTTTCAGGTGTGAGTTCAAATCCCACCACTACGTGATTGATTCTCTTTGGAATCAAACATTTTTTCACCTACATTTTCCGATACTATCACCTCGGTTATATTTCCCGAGGTGAACACTTAGTCGATTTTTCTTTTAAAATTTTTTTACGTTAAAGGGTGTGAATTCAAATCCCACCACCATGTGATTGATTCTCTTTGGAATCTAACATTTTTTCATTTATGTTTCCTAGGTGAACAGTTTCACCTTGGTTATATTTTTCGAGGTGAATACTTAGTCAATTTTTTTTTTTTTTTTTTTATACCTCGGGTAACTATTCCCGAGATATCCAAAAAAATTCACTGAAAGGGTGTGAGTTTAAATCCCACCACCACATAATTGGTTCTCTTTAGAATCCAACATTTTTTCACTTACGTTTCCCGGGTGAATAGTTTCACCTCGGTTATATTTCCCGAGGTGAATACTTAGTCAATTTTTTTTTTTATTTTTTATTTTTTATTTATTTATTTATTTTTACCTCGGGTTACTATTCCCTAGATATCCAAAAAAATTTGCGCGAAAGGGTGTGAGTTCAAATCCCACCACCACGTGATTGATTCTCTTTGGAATCCAACATTTTTTTACCTACGTTTCCCGCGGTGAATACTTGGTCAATTTTTTTTTTTTATAGAAATTCACCAAGGCCACATACAAATCCCACCACGTGATCACTTTATTCTCTTTGGGAATAATACGTTTGATGAGTTCTACTTTGGGTACTATTCTCGATGTGAACAATTTTTTTTTTTTTTTACCTTGGGTAATGTTCTCGAGGGGAATAGTTCTACCTCAACTATTATTCCATAGGTGAACAACCGTTTAAAGGGCCTGGGTTTAAATCCCACACTTAACAACACCGATGTAGTTGGATTCCCTTTAGGAATTAACACACTATGTAGTTTTATCCTTTTGATAAGGGTATTAATAATTCGGAGCTTCACCCAACTCGCCATTTTTAATAAAGGGTTTAATTTTTACGAGCTTCACCCAGCTCGCACTTTTAATAAATGGTCTAATTTTTCGAGCTTCACCTAGCTCGCCCCTTTAATAAGGAGATATTTTGCTCGAGTTTCGTGAGCTCGCCCTTTAATAAGGGAATAGGCTTTTCTTTTTCTATTTTTTAATTTATTTTTTTAGCTTCATGAGCTTACCCTTTAATAAGGGTGTTGTTTGTGTTTGAGGTTGCCTTTGTGAGGTCATAAATTAATTCCTCTGTCCCGTTTCCCAGGAGTAAATTAAGTAGTAATCACGTTTGATACCAATAAGATGGTCAGACATAGGCCTTAAGTTATCTACAACTATCTTTGAGATGTTAGTCATATTATTCGACGAAGCCTCGGTTGCGTGAGGAATTGGTGAAAAGAGACCAGAATTTGACTAGTTTTGTGTACTACGGTTGATGCGCTAGGCTTTTTGAATCTTACCATCATATAGGGATTGTTATCACGTGATTTACTGCTCTGTCCCAGTGCATGTGATAAATTGGGGGATCTTGAATGGGATCCATTTATAGGTACACAACTTGGCATCCTAGACAGATGATGGTCTGGTGACTTCTAGATAAGTGCCTCGTTGGATGTGGGAATCACCCTAGACTTAGAGAACTCCTTGGGCATAAAGACCTCATTGGACATGGGGATCTTGAGAAACATTCTTGGGTGTACAGACCACATTGACGGCATAGATGAATGGAGTAGTAGGATTTCATTATTGGTATAAATCTCCTTGGTGGTAGAGGCCTCATTGGTTGGTAACAGTCTCCTTGATGGATAGAGACCTAGTTGTTAGTGGAGACCATGTTTTTGGTAGAGTCCTCCTTGGCGGATAGAGAAATTCATATCTTGGCTGAATCTTGCTGGCTTTGGTGAGAGACATTTCTTGGTCTTGGTGAGAGACATTACTTGGCCTTGTGGGAGATGTCAGTACAAGACCTCCTGCTTGACATTGCCTTGGGAGGCTTGATTCATTTTGGCTTTGTAGGGCTCGATATAAGCGACCATACCTTAATAGTGAGGCTACCAAGTACTGCCAGGTGGGAGACACCAGACACATTTGTCTAGTGCTCGAATCGAATTGCCAGACTTTTGAGTACTATCATCATACACGGGGTAGCACCATGTGACTCACAGTTTTGCCCCTAGTATGATTGATGGGGGAATCTTGATGTAGAAACCCGTACTTTTATAAAAGTGGGGAACTCGTTGTTGTAACACTATGCAACAGATGCTTTCAGGATGGTTTCCATAATTGGAAACCATCATCTTGCTGCTCGAGCTGAATCGCGGCATAATTACTATTTCTTAAGGGAACTAATCGTTTCCCATAGATGGCGCCAGTTGTTGATGCGAAAATCCTCACGACCCGGAACGTAGGCGCTTACTTGCAAAACAACGGGACGTCATCTCGAATGACACCGGTAGGGTGTCGACCGAGGACTCTCCGACGATTAAGTTAGTACTTATAATCGTATAATAGAAGAATTAAATCTGTATTGAATGTTTGAGGGTTTTTTCTCGTACCTAATTTAATAACTCGATGCTCTATTTATGGCTGCCGATTAGAATCAAGTCAGTTCAGTTTATGTCGATGGTTGAGATCTGCTTTCTCATTATTAATGGAGTTAGTTGAACAGATGTCGATTAGGAAGATTATATTAATCTTCTCTAACTGATCTCCCCTATCTTCCACAACATAATGAATGATTTGCGCTCTTTTCAAAGAAGTCTAAGGAAACAGTTCAGTAAGGGCGCGCGACGGTCCAAGTTAGGGTTATTTTCCCCCTATCAACAGCCAAGTAAGCATTCTCTAAATATATTGCACACTAAATATTTAATCTCAATTGTTAAAACAAATTAAAAGATTAAATCCATCTATCATTTAAATAATTCAAATGTCATGCATTGTTTTGTTCAAGCCTATTTAAAATCTGCTTAATATCATCCCTAGTCCCCATTTACTATTTGGTACCTTAAATAATCAATTTGGGGTCATTTTAAGCAATTTTCTCAAAACTTCGAGAGGGTGCTCGAGCACTGTTTCTCATAAAGGGGTGAGCACCCTCCAAGGGTCACTATTTCGTGAAACAACTAGAGAAACTCTATTTTAAGCCATGTTCTCCATTGTTAAAGTCCCTAAAGCATGTTACTAAGTCCATCAACACACAAGCACAAAAATCCATCATTATAACACGCAGAAATCCATTAAAAATCAAATCTAAGTCATGAATTTATCAATTCATAAAACAAGAATAACTATGAACATAAACTCATAACAACCTATGTTTTAGATATCAATTTAAACATGGATTCCAATTTTAATAATCCTTTAAACATCCCTAAAGTTGTATTAAAGACATATAGATCATAGATCTAAGGGAAAAGTGTAGAACATAGAACTTGCTTTAAATTTTCGGATCGAAAGTTAAACTCTTTTTTCCTTATTCTTCTTCTCTAATGGTCCTTGTTCTTCTTCCTTCTCTCTCTAGCTTTCTCTTTTCTCTTTCTAGATCTACCCTCTATGTATATATATAGATAAAATATACTACCTATATTATAAACTTAACATATGGTCCGACAATTCACAAACTAGCACTACAAGAAAATGGGCCTTTTACAACACATTTTCTACAACAGGTCCACAGATCCCATGTAGAAGTGCCTTCTACAACAGGCCCGCATGGCCTATTGTACAAAGGTATTCTTCTACAACAGGCCCGCATAGCCCATTGTAGAACAGGGTTTTCATCGGGTGGCACTCAAAAAAATTCATTTCTCCTCCCAAACTTCGTACGCATCAATCAACCAAAACACCCCTCTCTCTTGAATCCATATGAAACCTTAATCCTTTCTAAGTCCAAGCACGAATTTTTTGGGAGCTTCGTCTTTGGCGAGTTTCACCTCCAGAGGAAAATTGCCCAGGTGCGTCTCTGTTCATCTCTGAACTCTCGTCTCTGTTCTTCTTCTCGATCTATTCCTTCTCTGAACTCTCATCTATTTTCTTCTTTTTTTCAGCAACAAAAGACACAGAAAAAACCCGCAGAAGATACCATCATCTGTAGGCCAATTAGGGTTTCCGTACTGGAGTCCAGTTCGTCGACGGTTCGGTCCCGACGCCCCTTTCTTCGCATCTGGAAATATTGAAAGAGAACTTCTAGCCAAACAGGTTCATTCATTTCCTTCCGTTTCCCTCTATTGATTGTGTATGTACATTACAAGTATATGTAAACACACATACCCCACAAACATATTTTTCTATTATTTTTTTTATTTTTAATTCTTTGAAGATCTTTTAAGTCTTAATTGACGAGTTTGTGGAATATGATCTTATTGAAGGTTTTGAGTTAATGTCTTATTTGACATTCATTCTCTGGGATGATAAATTTTCAAATCAATAATTTATGTTTTTGCGTAGAATTTGCTTTATTGTACTCAAATTGCTTCGTTAAGTAGAAACTAATATTAGAATTTGCCACTGATTGGCAAAAATATGGAAGGTTTCAGTAATCTATCAATTTGGATGTCTCTTATGTTTGTTTGAAATTTATGGAGAGAATTATAATCGTAGGAAATGCTAGTCATGGGAACTTTATAGGGACTAGTTAAGAAGATATATCTTTTATTGTATTCGGTTAATGACTATGGTCTTTCAGGTGTTTGTTTGTTGTGGTAAAGTGTTTAAAAATGACAGCTTTGGGTTTTGTAAATGATCAAGAAAATGATATTACTGATTAAGTGATTATATATGAAGTTCCTTCCAGATTGAAATTGATTGAGTAAATTATTTCTTATAGTTGGAGATAATTCATTTGCTACACCCGGCTGATATGACTATCTAATACTCCGTATCTGGTCCATGAACTAAGCATGGTTAGCAACTTAGTATTTTGAGTGCATGATCAAGACGTCCTCCCAGAACAACATTCTAAATCTACTTCTACTCAATTTATTGAAACTGTTAGGATCCTACTTGGTAATATTTACTTGAGTTGATGAGCTCTTTTCCAAGGTATTTTTTTATTACAAAAAAATTTGCCAAAAAAAAGCATATCTTTGTTCTCCTTGTGCTGTTTTTTTCCCTTTCATTCGACAATAGATGAATTAGAATTGAGGAAAGTTAAGTAGCTACATCATAGTAGCTATATATGTTGTGGGCTCCCATATTTCTTTAATTGTAATTTTACATGTAATTTGGGTTTTCTAAATCACCTTGGTTGTGCAGGTCCATGCGTTCTTGGTTTATTGGAGAAATTAATAGTGCTTAATCTTTAGCATTAGTTATTGTAATAATTTTATTTTTTTAATTCAACTAAATACTGGCTAAATCTATTAAGTTGAACTGCAATGTTTCTTTCTTTCTTGACGGTCTACTTTACAGACTCATGTTTTGCTTTCTTTCTTCGGAATTTCCTTTTATTATATTTTCAACACATGTTGTTCAAGTACTTGTTTTCTGAAAATAACTCGCGCATTACTCCGGCTTTTGAGTATGTAAAGTTCACACCTATAGTGCGAAACCTTCTAAGAGATTTGATTTTAAACCTCTGATATCGGTTGCCTGCCAAAAGAAAAGAAACTTGATTAGTAACGAACTTTATTTCCCTTTTTTGTTTAGGTTGCATTGGATTTAACTGAAGACAAGAAGCAACAGCTTCAAATTGTGGAAGATGAGGATGGCAGGTATTAATGGTCACAAATAATTTTTTTCCGTCTATTGACTTGATCTGCGACTAACTGGCTACAGTAATTCTGCAATTTTTCCAGCATTGAAAGAACTAAAATAGTTGGATTCCTTGGATGAAGATGAAAGTTGTGTTGTAAAATTATTTTTGATGGATTAGAAATTAAAAGGGTGTTATGGTATAGTTCACAAGCTACAGGTTATTCTAATCCTAAAACTTATCCACACATGTAACTGTTAAAATTTGTTGTCCTTGAGAAGCCTCCACTATGTTCTTTCATTTTGCTGGATCGCAGTTATTGGAAATAAATATATAGTATCAAGAGATTCCAATATTTTATCGAAGAGTAAATTACACTCAAGAGATTCTAATTCCGTTAAATGAACTCAATTCCTATAACTTTATATAAATCATCGATACATGCATTCACTTTGTTAAATTGAAAACTAACTAAAATTCTGCTTTCTGTTGCTAGATTTTATCCACATCTTTTATTGCACGGACAACAATACATAGAAATTTACAAGGCACTTCCTTCTAATGGTTGTGTAAGCCTCCTAACCAGATTCTCTTGATGAAGATAATGTGCCTAAATATTTTTTCTTGTTTGCTTATGTCCTATATTTGATGTGAGACTGATCTTAAATTTGTATAATTTCAGCCTAACATCATAATACTTAAGTTGAAAGCTTCAGTTTTATTAATTACCAGTTTTTTCTGTAAGATTAATGGCCCAAGACAATTAATGGTAGGCTAGCAGCTCATTTTAATGCAAATCTTAGATATTACCAAGGGAACCTATTATCTGTCACACTTTTACATGAACATTTTTTTATTATCACTTATTTCATGCATATTAATTCATAGATTTGTGCATGCCCTTATTTATTTATTTTTAATATATTTTTTCTTTCTTGAGTTCTTTAGTGAGAGTTTTGGCTAAAATTTTCTTCTTTGTTTTCAGTTATGTTTAGCTGCTTGGAGTCTTGCCATGAATGCTTTGGAGGGAAAGTTTTTGCAATCTGAGTGTGATGGGAAATGCCCTGGTTGTGTTGGTATTGAAACTTGTCTAATCCTTGCACAGATGGTAACAATGAAGGGAACTTTGTAATCTTTAATGAATATAAAATAAATTTGGAATCTATTTGTTTGTGATTAGTGGGATGTAGATGTAAATTTTTATTTTTATACGACTTGAACTCTTTTTCATCTTGTATCATAAGGCTTGGTGTGGATATATATACCTTTGGGTTGATTTATTGTTGTGTTTAGTTGTACTAATTTTGTGTTGGGGCAGCGTAAGGCAACCATTGAATTTTTTTTTTTTTTTTTAAATTGCTTTTTATAAGGGGCCAGACCTATCGTCAAAAGCACTCTTTCTACAAGGGGCGCAAACCGTCGTAAAAAGTAATATTTGCCCGTCGTAGAAAGCCCTCTTTCAACAAGGGGCTGGAACCTTCGTAGAAGACCCTAAGCCAACAAAGATAGGGGATACCACAATGGGCCATGCCCGTTGAAGAACTGTTTTTCGCCCCTTGTTAAAAGCCATTTTTCTTGTAGTGTAGGTAGCTAATTTAATGAAATATTATTTTTAATAATATATATATATATACATACACCTTATTATATGTATATATATATATATAACTAATAATCCATATGGGTCGCTATCCAACTCATTTAGGATCCCACTTAAATAGTCTTAGACCCATCTAGTTGGTCGATGAGCTAAAACCTAAATCCTTTAAAATAAAAATAAAAATAAAATAAAATTATTTAATTAACACAATTAAACATTTAAAATAATTCAATCACACAAACACATCACATGGAATCAAATAAGAATGCACATATAATTAGCCAACATAAATAAATTTAATTAATTCAAATAAAATAATTTAATGAAATAATTAATCAATTAAACACATAATTAAATATAAAAGCAAATAAACAAATAGTCACATAAATAAATAAAATGCAATTAAAATCATTAAATAAAATCTAATTAAATCCTTTGAAATTAGGGGTATTATCGGGTGAATTCAATAATATGTTTCTTTCTCCTTTCAGTTGGACGTGAATATCTGAATTGGTTGTTCAGATACTATTCAAGAATTCTTGTTTAGACAGCTCAAACCATCCATACATGGTGTTTTGATCTAAGATTTCAATTCCTCCATGTTTCAGTAGTAGCATATTATTTCATGGAGCTAAGGTGATCTTGATACAAACAAGACTACGTGACTCAAAAACGATTAAAGGGATATATGAAGAATTAATATACAAAAGGAAGGTTAAATTTAACTTGAATTTACGCATTATAAAAGGACTCATGTACATAGTTTTGGTGAGATTAAGTATGGACCTAATGTAACAACCCACTCTACCACATGGTATGATATTGTCCGCTTTGGGCCTGAGCCCGCACGGTTTTGCTCTTGGGCTTTATCCCAAAATGCCTCATACCAATTGGAGATGACACACTTACATATAAACACTTCACCTTTCCTCTACCCAGGCGATGTGGGACTGTGCACCCGTAGCTCGCCAGTGTGGTAACCTGACAGTGTCTCTCGCACTCGCCCACTGCACACCCGCCCACAAGGTCATCACAATCCACCCCCAATGGAGGCCCGACGTCCCCGTCGGCACACTTCAGGCTAGGTCAGGCTCTGATACCATTTGTAATGACCCACTCCACCACATGGTATGATATTGTCCACTTTGGGCCTGAGCCCGCACGGTTTTGTTCTTGGGCTTCACCCCAAAAGGCCTCATACCAATTGGAGATGACACACTTACATATAAGCACTTCACCTTCCCTCTACTCAGGCGATGTGGGATTGTGCACCCGTAACTCGCCAATGTGGTAGCCTATTAGTGTCTCTCGCACCCGCCCACAGGGTCATCACAATCCACCCCCCTTGGAGGCCCGACGTCCCAGTCCGTACACTTCCGGCTAGGTCAGGCTCTGATACCATTTGTAACGACCCATTCCATCACACGGTATGATATTGTTCGCCTTTTGGGCCTGAGCCCGCACGGTGTTGCTCTTGGACTTTACCCCAAAAGGCCTCATACCAATTGGAGGTGACACACTTACATATAAGCACTTCACCATTCCTCTACCCAGGCGATGTGGGACTGTGCACCCGTAGCTCGCCAGTGTGGTAGCTTGACAGTGTCTCTCGCACCCGCCCACGGCACACCAGCTCACAAGGTCATCACAATCCACTCCCCTTGGAGGCCCGACGCCCCCGTCGGCACACTTTCGGCTGGGTCAGGCCCTGATACCATTGTAACAACCCACTCTACCACATGGTATGATATTGTCCGCTTTGGGCCTGAGCCCGCACGGTTTTGCTTTTCGGCTTTACCCCAAAAGGCCTCATATTAATTGGAGGTGATACACTTACATATAAACACTGCACCTTTCCTCTACCTAGGCGATGTGGGACTGTGCACCTGTAGCTTGCCAGTGTGGTAGCCTGACAGTGTCTCTCGCACCCGCCCACGGCACACCCGCCCACAAGGTCTTCACAATCCACCCCCCTTGGAGGCCCGACGTCCTCGTCGGCACACTTCCGGCTGGGTCAGGCTCTGATACCATTTGTAACGACCCACTCCACCACATGGTATGATATTGTCCGCTTTGGGCCTAAGCTCGCACGGTTTTGCTCTTGGGCTATACCCCAAAAGGCCTCATATCAATTGGAGGTGACACACTTACATATAAGCACTTCACTTTTCCTCTACCCAGGCGATGTGGGACTTTGCACCCATAGCTCGCCAGTGTGGTAGCCTGACAGTGTCTCTCGCACCCGCCCACGCATACCTGCCCACAAGGTCATCACAATCCACCCCCCTTGGAGGCCCGACGTCCCCGTCGGGACACTTCCGGCTGAGTAAGGCTCTGATACCATTTGTAACGACCCACTCTACCACATGGTATGATATTGTCCGCTTTGGGCCTGAGCCCGCACAGTTTTGTTCTTGAGCTTCACCCCAAATTAAAGGCCTCATACCAATTGGAGATGACACACTTACATATAAGCACTTCACCTTCCCTCTACTCAGGCGATGTGGGATTGTGCACTCGTAGTTGGCCAATGTGGTAGCCTGACAGTGTCTCTCGCACCCGCCCACGGCACACCCGCTCCAGGGTCATCACACCTAATATATGCCTTCTTAAAGTTGGGATTTGGGAATTATATGCCATGCAATTAAATGGAGAATATTGGAATAATCGAAATTTATAGGTAAATCTAATTTGAAAGTAATAATGTGTTTCCATTTCATAATGTGTTTATATTGATAATTTGATTATTTATTTATTTATTTTTTGTCATCGGTAAGAAACTCATACACATTATTCACACATTCACTTTGCTTATTTGAAGACTCGAATTCTCACCACCCACTTTGAGAAATAAAAGAGATATCACTTGACTACAAGGCCCTTAGTTATTGATAATTTGATATGACCAATTTTAAATTAAGAATATGATTGGAATTAAGGTCTGTCTTATTTATTTTTAAAATAATCTAAGAGATTTGGGAGAAATTTGAAAATTCTTACTAAAAATAAATTGTTTTTTCCCCGGCAAGTGAGTAAATAACTGCCAATATTGATTAACATTCAACTAGGCTGCTCAAATTCACAATAAGCAGCCTATGTCTGGCATAAGCTAATTTGGTTCAAGCATCATCTATCAAAGCACAACTACATAACTTGGCTAGCAGTAAGAGGTAGGCTATATACATAACTCCAAGCCAATGCCTCATAAGCACTATGTCAATAGATGTTACCTATATCTGGCTGAGAATGAGTCTATGAACCACTTGTTCTTCAAGTGTAGCTATATATAGTTCACAGATTTGGAAATTTATCCGGGAGATTGCAGGGTTCAATATACTTCCCAATTGTTGGATAGATTTGATACAGTGGTTTTCAACTCATTGGGCTTCATCAAATTTCTTGACACACAAGCTCATATTGTCTGCAACAATTTACTTCCTTTGGCAAGAGAGAAATGGAAGGGCTTTCAAGAATATTTCTACTCCTCCCCACCGCATTATTTCCCAAATCAAGACTTGTATTAGAGCAAAGTTTGCAACAATCAAGTTGAAGAGGAGTGTTGATCTTAGACTAATCACAGCTGAGCAGGACCTTCATAGTTTGTTTGTGGAGGCCTGTTCCACATCCTGTGTGCACTCTTGGCTGGTCTCATAAGGTTGTAGTTGGAGGTTATCAGTGGCAATATTGTATTGTTCTGCATTTTCACTTTTGTAGCTAATGCTTTGGTTTGAGGTTGCATTAGGCTGCCTTTGGTTGGTTGTTCATTGCAGTACTTCCCCACCTTGGGCACCATGTACATTCTTCCTGACTTATATACAAGCTTACAGTACTTTAACCAGGGAAAAAAAAAAAAATCACAATAATGAAATCGATACATCAAATACAATATATACATATATTTACACAGTATCTTTCAAGAAATAGAAGTATTGAAGCAAATGATCAGCTATTGTTTTAAATTTTTTTTGTTGTTGTTGTTGTTGGTTTTTATTTATATATATATATATATATATATATATATATAATTGTAGACATTAACTAGACAATATATCAAAAAGACAGGAAACTATATGTCAAAATGTACAAAGGGATTATTCTCTAGCAACCCAAAAAATTCTAGCACTACATGGCATTAAAACACAAAAACAAAAAAATACCTGGCACAAAAACAAATCCACAGCAAAACAATATTGGCCAAGGAAATTAAAAAACTGAAAAAAAACAAAACAAATTGTAGTCATTAAATTAGATGGCTAAAGTTATGAGATTGTTCTGTAGATGGTATAAATCAAGGAAAAACTTGTTTCTTATTGCCATTAGCTGCACTATTTTTATGGATGGGATTCCTCAGATGCAATTGCTATGACTAAAGGCCTTATAAAGCAGGAAATTGACTAAGTGCGCAATCAAATGCATAAGAAAACTAAAGATTAAAAAAATTTCAGTAACTACTTTAAAATTTGACCTGAACCATACTCATCAACAAATGGAAAACACAAAAGTGACCACAAATTTCAGAATAAAAGTTGTATTACAATTCAAAATGCAAATTTTCAATTAAATTTAATTTTCCTATGATTCTTATTTGTTACAACGATCAAGCATCAAGATAAGATAAACAAATGATGGAATCCACATAATTTGATTTGTGATACTAGCATCATACTTCCTAAACCATCAAATTTAAGTACCTCACCAATTCTAATAATTGGCGTAGAAGCCTTACTCCTGTAATCCCAAGAAATATATTGACAAGGTTTTGTTTCTGAAAACTGCAGTATCTCACTCTTGTACACAGGACTAGAATATGACAAGAAGGTAAAGAGTATTTCATACTTTTGTGGAGCAACAACAGTCTTCTGAACCGAGATGTCATGACAATCCTCTAATACCTATATTTGTATGGCACTGCCACAGTTCAATAAAGCCATCGCCCTCCAAATTTTTTCAAATTATACTTGGGAGAGACAGTATCAGGAAGGGGCAACGATTAGAAATTTTTGCTACCAACATCGAAAACCACCAGAACTTCTTCACTTGGTGCCTTCGCGCAAATCCAATATATCGCGCCATTGACACAAACACCTTGTTCTCGGAATGAAGAAGACCTTTTTAAAACGCAATAGAAAAGACTAACACACTTAATTTTAACTTGAATTTGCGCATTGGAAAAGAAGGGGAGGGAGACGCACACAAGAGAAGAAAGTTAATAAAATCAATCTTCCTCCCCTGTTCTTGGAAATCAAGGAGGCCTTTAAACCAATTTTCTTGTAGCAATTCTATGCCCAAAAACATTTGAAACTATACTTCTCATGTTATGCAGCATTTATAATACACACACAGAGTAATGAGAGAAGAAAGAAATGACTAGCAAATTTTAAAACATAAATCCAAAAAAAAAAGTCAGCAGAAAAACCAGTTATAGAATAGCTAACCAAAACAAACATGGAGCTGCATTGAAAAAAATAATAATAATAATTTCATTGACATATAATTTTATGTTTTCACGTGATTCTTATTTAGAAACAAGAATCAACCATCTAGATTAACATCAAACTCCCCAAATTGCAATTTGCACATTAATCATCTGAATCTGTGGTAGAGGCATGAAGCTCTCCACATGATTAGTGATTCTAAAATTGATATTTTCTGCGGTCCTTGAATTCTAAAAGTCCTCACACTTTTATTCTTCTGACAAGGAATAAGGTCATAGTGGTTCCATAATATACCTGAAGCCAGTAACAACTCACCGCTATATGGGTTTCTAGGCCTCTTGCGACCATGCAGTGCTACCATTCTTCCCCGGGAAGTGAGTAACTAACTATCAATGTTGATTAATGTGTTCAACTAGGCTGATTAATAAATCAAATGCACAATAATGAAATCGATACATTAAATAATATATATATATTTAAACAGTATATTTTAAGAAATAGAAGTATTGAAGCAAAATATGTATATGATTAATCCAATTGAGCAAGGTTAAAATGATCAGCTACTATTTAAATTTTTATATAGTTTGTTGGTTTTTTTAATTTTTTTTTTTTTTTTTTGGTTAAAGGGCAAGCTTCTATATAAATTAAGAAAGGATATACATGGGGCCCCAAGAAGGGGAAAATACAACACAATTTAAATCAAAGATTGAAATATAAACTACAACAGCCAAAGCACAGCTAACACAGGCCAAAGCATTGATTACAATTCAAATTCAAAACTTCAAAACCACCCTACGGGATCAGCCACGTACACACACATGATGAGGAACAAGACTGCACAAATAGGTTTTGGAGGTCATGATCAGTTGTGATTAATCTAAGATCAGTACTCCTCTTCAACTTAATTGCAGCTAGTTGAGCTCTGATGCAAGATTTTATCAAGGAGATAACATGATGAGGGGTATTGGAAACATTCCTAAAAGCTCTACCATTTCTTTCTTGCCAAAGATAGTAAACTGCTGCTCACAGTAAGAGCTTGTGAATTAATCAAGAACCTTGCTGAGGTCCAATGAGCTGAACACCAGTTGATCAATTCCATCCGGCAGCTTGGTAGAATGTAGAACCCTGCAATATCTTGTATGAAGTTCCAAATCTGTGAACTAAAACAACATTGGAAGAACAAGTGATCCATTGATTCCATCTGAGCCTTACAAAGGTAGCACCTGTTAACATAGTGCTTGTGCATCATAGGTTTAGAGTCCAGTGTGTAAAATCTTCCCCTCACTGCTAACCAAGGAATACAACTATGTTTGGGAATATGGTGCTTGAACCAAATATGCTTATGCCAAACAAAGGTTGGTGAAGGTGGTGCAAAGTATGCATTGGTATGAGAAAATGAGTAACCATGAGAAGGACAAGGCAACCAAACGAAACTGTCTTGTTGTTCAGAGGGTTGAGGCAGGGAATATAACAGAGAAAGAAAGTTTAAGAATTGGAAAAACTGTGAGTAGTTCAAAGATAGGGGGACCATCCAATGAGTACTGGAAATTAGGCTATCAACTAGGTCCTAGTGTCTAGTTGAAGAATTTCCACATCATTCAGCCCTATCTGTTGAACAATTGGACAATTAGGGAACCAGTAATTAAGCCATAAATTAGTATCTTTCCCACACCCCACCCAATACGTGATGAGACCTCTTGCCGTCCCTCTTAGTTTCAACAAATTCCTCCAAAAACTAGAACAAGTTGCAGAGGGCTTGATACACCAAAAGGATCTATCCCTTAGCTGATGACAATTGTTTTTTACAATTGTATACATTAGAGAACATATCAAAAAGACAGGATACGTCAAAATATTCTGTAGCAACACCCAAAATATTCTAGCACTACATGGCATTATAACATTATTACAGAAGGTTAGCCAAAAATTGAAAAAAACAAAACAAAATGTAGTCATTAAGCTAGATCGATGGTTAAAGTTATGAGATTGTTCTATCTATGGTACAAATCAAAGAAGCATTTTATTAATTCTCCCACCTTTTTATTTTTTATTTTTTTTAAGATTACTTGTTTCTTATAGACCCTAGCTTCACTGTTTTTATGAATGGGATTGCTCAGATGCAATTGCCGTGCATCAACCATCAATATCTATGACTAAAGGCCTTATAAAGCTGGAAACTAACTGCATTCAAATGCATAAGAAAACTAAAGATAAAGAAAATTTCAGTAACCATACTCATCAACAAATGGAAAACACAAAAGTGATCAAAAATTTCAGAATAAAAGTTGCATTACAATTCAAAATGCAATTTGTCAATTAAATTATATTCCTATGATTCTCATTTGTTACAACAATCAAGAATCAAGATAAACAAATGAAGCAATCAACATAATTTGTGATACTAACATTGACACCACCATAGTTAAGTGCCTCACCAATTCTAATAGGCCTAGAAGCTTTATTCCTGTGATCCCAAGAAATATATTGATAAGGTTCTGTTTTTGAAAAGTGCAGCGTCTCACCCTTGTATACAGTCATAGGAGACAAGATGGTGAAAAGTATTTCATACTTTCGTGGAGCCACAACAGTCTTTTGAACCCACTTGTGACAATCCTCTAATACCCATATTTCCATGGCAATGCAATCACAATCTCTATCTTTCAATAAAGTCAAACGCCCTCCAATTTTATTCAATTTATACCTGATAGACGGAGAGATACCATCAGGAAGTGGCAACGATCGGAACTTTTCACTACCAACATCGAAAACCACCAGAACTTCTTCACTTGGAGCCTTCCCGCAAATCCAATATATCGCGCCATCAACACAAACACCTTGTCCTTCGAAAATATAAGGACATGGTGGGACGTGGGTGATTTTTCTCCATGACTTATTATTAGCATGAGAGGTGAACACTTCTTTATGCTTCTTTGAACCAGCCTTTATTGTGAACACTTCTTTATCTTTCTTTGAACCAACCTTTATTGTGAACACTTCACATTGCATGTCAAATAACCTCCTGGTGAACCCATGACGCATAGACATTATGTGTAACACTTTGTACTCATTGGTTGAAGGATCAAATCCGAAAGAATAAATAGAATAAAACTCAACTCCAGAGCGTAAATTGTCAAATTTAAAATTCTCATAATTAGAATGACTTGCCGGTAGGAGTCTGAATTCCCGAGTGCTAGGGTTAATGACATAGACATACCTGCCATTGTAGAAACATACTAATCCATTAAGGGATTCTGAAACATATCTCTCGCAGCCGGGCAGGGACAGAAGGCGGACCGCTGGCCCTCCTTCAAGACTTGCAGAATAGAAGTAATGCTTCGAGTCAGGACCCGAGAAAGACACAAGGATTTGGGGTCCACAGGGCCGAGTTTGAGATTGGCTCAAGTGCAGGTCCACCAAGGAAGGGCTGTCGATAATGGTGAGCCATCTTTTGCAGACGGATCGGAATCTGAAAAGGGACTTCACGGGGAGTCTTGAAAATATCTCTAAGATCAAATCTTCTAGAAGTGGAGGAATAGCCTTGCTTTTTGCTCGTCTTGTTATAGAACGATTTGGGTTTTCTGAGGAGGGTTTCTTGGCATCATCACTTCTTTTGTTGTTGTTAGTCTTTCTTGTTTGCTTCTTTCCCATTGCTCATTTTCAAAACATGGTTTTCTCAGTGTTGCAAGACTGCAGGTTACAACTTATATATAGAGTTGCGGCTTTTTTTTTTTTTGTCAAATTAGGGTTTGGATTAGCACTCATAAACACACTTTTTTTACTTTATATTTTTTATTATTTTTATTTTCTAAGATTAAAATCATAAAAACCTCCGTTGTTTACAAAAATGACATATAATTTCCTCAATTATTAAAAAATCTCTGGAGAATGGTTAAGCTAAATTGAAATGACAATAATACCCTTAATAGTATACTAATATTTGGGATAATTACGCTCACATTCCTTGAGATTTGCATTATTGACAGACAGATGATAGTTGGCATTTTTTTGAACACTCACACCCTCTCTCAGAAATTACTGTCAAACAGACCCTAAAAAGGTATAAAAAGACGCTATTGCCCTTCAATAGAATAATTATTTCTTAATTCAAAATATTAGAATATTTACGTAACCAAAATACTCCCATCATTAGTTTCCACGTTTTAAGGCACTTGTCATCACCCTCACCTACCACCACTGCCCCCAAAAAACACGGCCACCACTACCGCCACCTCTCAACTTCTTATACACTAGATCACCAACATGGCCACTACCACCTCCTCCCACCACGGCCATCCTATGAAACCGCTACCTTGAGGGTAATCAACGAGCAACAAGGTATGATGTGGAGTTCCGTATTAGTCCAGATTGCGTTGAATTTGGGCCCTGTAAGTCTCAGATTGTCATCGTCGAAGGGATGGGGATGGTATCGTGGGGTCAGATCTCTCCTTTTCCGACCCCAACCGCCACTGGAATGGGTTCACACAACCCTCCGTCGCCACGTGTAGGGTTGTTCCCAGCTTCATCTTCTTCCCCAGTGAACCTAGCTAGAAGAAGCTTTGCAACGATTTTTCCACAGAAAAACTAGTTTTATGCCACACCATTTTAATCAATCGCCACCACCTCACCACTTCAACCACCACCACTGCCGCCACTCAACCACTTCCACCACAAGAACACAGAAACTCAAATAATTCACCACCAGCTTAACGTTAACCAACCAACCATGAACTTCTCTCAACGTGTTGAAAATTCAAGCAATTTATAGAATTCTAGAATTGCAGATCTACCTATATATATATATATATACAAATCCCATATTGAAAGAGAATTATATATATATATATATATATATATATATATATATATATATATGAGATTTATGCTTACATGTATGTGGATTTTTATTTGTACTTGTGTGGATTTGGATGGTGATTAGGTTGGATTTGATGATGTATATATGGGTGGTGGTGGGGATATGGAGTGGTGATGGTGGTGGGTGTGATACATGCAGGGGCGGAGCCAGGATTTCATTCCAGGGGGGGGGGGGGCATAGTGTATTTGATAAGAGAAAAAGAAAATCAACGACAAAAATAGAATTTTCACATCAAAAGACAAACAAGACAAAAAAAAATAAAAAAAAAGGAAATAAAAAACAGAGCAAAGTCACTATTTTCAAAGGAAAATATAGAATTAGTATCTAATTTAGTATCTAAAAAAAAAAACAGAGCAAAGTCACCATTTTCAAAAGACAAAAAAGGAATTACCTGGCAAGGTGAAATACTGGATGAACTAGGAGTGCAGGAGCCATTCCAAGGCAATTATACCCACTGTCTGAGTCTCCAAGCGCATAGTGAATCTTGACAACCAAAGCAAACAAGATTGTATTTTATTATTTTTATCTTAAACTAAGATGGAAACTAAATGTTCTTCAATAATGTGAATTGAAAATACCCATAAAAGAATTTATTTGTTTATCTAAAGAACTAAACAGGTAACAAGTTGATATGATTTTTAAATAAAAAGAACTAAAATATAATACTTGACACATATAAGATCCAAAATATTAGTTGATAATATTTTATTGAATACAATTACAACTGCCCTCGATGGCTTTTCATCTTTTGAAAGCGTTGAATGATAGCCTCATTATCTATGCCCCTAAATATTTCTTTTTCAATATACACAACCAAGCTATCATTCATAAATTGATCTCCCATCCGATTACGCAATTCATTCTTTACAATATTCATAGCAGAAAATGCCCTCTCCACCGTAGCAGTCACGACTGGTAAGATTAATGCCATTGTCACAAGTAGATACACCAATTGATACACCTTGTCTTTTTTTTGTTTCAACCATTTTTTTTGCAAGACCGGAAATCCCTTTCAATCCTTCAAACTTGATATTAGAGCGCACATCAAGAATATAAGTTTCAAGTTGACTACCAAGCTCTATGAGCTTAGCTACAGAAAATTCTTTTGGATAGTATTCAGCAAAACGAGTGATCTTTTGCTTGTCAAAAGCAGAGAATGCATCATCTGGACATAGACATGCCACACAAAGAAGTAACTCAGTATTAGCCTCATTGAAATGATTATTTAGCTCTTGAAGTTGCATATCTATGACAGAATAAAACAACTCAACACGATAGTAATGCAAGTTTGTCATTTCTTGCACATATTTCGTCGTCGTCGTCCTTGAGTAATGAACATATCATCCATGTTGGGAACATCAATCTCATGTCTCTCACAAAAGGAAGAAACTTCATCAAGCAAAGAATCCCATCCATCATCCCTCATCATTTGTAGTCGTTGCTTACATACTTTGACAAGGTCCATGGCATTCACGATATCTTGATCTTTTCTTTGTAATGCTTTGGATAATTCATTTGTCATGCCCAACAATGTCTTCATCAAATGGAGATTGAATACAAAATTAAATGATTGTATTGACCCAAGTAGAATAGATGCTTCGCCTCTTTGATCAGATTTCAATCCATCATTTTCAATAAACTCAAGAACAACAATTACAGATGAGTACAATGTAATCAAGCTAATTAAAGTACCATAATGTGAGCCCCAACGGGTGTCTCCTGCACGTACAAGAGAAGTACTCTGATTTAGGCCTTGCCCACTTGTGAGCTCGCCTTTGTTAAGTCCATCAATAACTTCAGCAATTTATTTCTCGCGAAGCATATCACGACGTTTACACGAGGCTCCAACTACATTCACCACATTAGCAACAAATACGAAAAAAGTGGAAATCTGGCCATGATTCTTTGTCACAGCAACAAGAGCCAACTGAAGTTGGTGAGCAAAACAATGAACATAAAAAGCAAATTCATTCTCTTTCAGAATTAGTGTTTTGAGACCGTTGAACTCACCTTGCATATTGCTAGCCCCGTCATAACCTTGCCCACGCAATTTAGAAATGCTCAATCCATGTGTAGAAAATACATTATCAATCGCCATCTTGAGTGAGAGAGCAGTTGTATCGGTAACATGTACCATACCAATAAAACGTTCAATGACACTTCCATTCTTCACGTAACGTAACACAATAGCCATTTGCTCCTTTATCGATACATCATGAGACTCATCAATTAAAATAGAAAAAAATCCATCTCCGATATCTCTAATAATAAAATTGACAACCTCTGTTGCAATGGCATTTACAATCTCTTTTTGAATCTCAGGTGATGTTAACTTCAGATTTTCAGGAGCATTTTCCAATACAACGGCTCTAGCATCCTCATTGTGACGAGCATGAAATTTCAAAAGTGTGAGGAAGTTTCCTTGATTGCTTGAATCTTCAGATTCATCATGGCCACGAAAGGTAAGTCCTTGGTGTAAAAGATATCGGATACATTCAATTGATGCAGTCAAACGAGTCCGATATTCATTTCTAGATTGGTGCGACTGCTTGCATAAAATTGTTTGAATGTGTTGTTTTTGGTTCACCAAAGCTTCACATGATCTCCAAGCTTGGTTGTGGGCACTATTGGGACCTCCAACATGAGTTTGAAAATTTTCTTTCTTCTTCCAATTTGAAAACCCCTCACCCACAAAAGATTCACCTCCTGCTTGTTCTCCAATATCCGGCTTAAAAAGATAACAACATAGGCAAAACGCTGCATCTTTCGTTATACTATATTCTAGCCAATTAGAATATTCACTAAACCAAGCAGGGTTAAAACGACGTGTTGCTTTCCCAAAACTCGTATAGGGAAAACGATGAGTCTTGGGTTGACAAGGACCCTTAAGATAATATGCTCTACGAATGTCATCTCGAATATTAGGATGGTAATCCAAGATTCGAGTTCGTAATCCTGGATCCGCTGGAAGATTTTCCAAGTTGATGTCGAAACGACTTTGCTTCAATGTTCGATCATCATCTCTCTCTATAGGAGGTGGCTGAGGTGCCAACCCTGATTTTCTTTTATAATATTTCTCCATAACTGTTTAAAATAAAAAAAAATGCTTATTTATATATAATAATTAAGACAGACATTTCAATATTATTAATTTTATTTAAACTACTCAATCTTTTCATTTTCAATCTTATTAATTTTATTTAAACTACTCAATCTTTTCATTTAGAATGCATTAGGAAAGATTGGAAAGTAAGTGCTAACTAGTAACTACACAATAAAAATTTAGAAAAAAATGCCCAATTTAAGTGACAATGATTTAACCCAACCTTAATATCATGATCAAAATTAGAACATTTAAAAAAATCCAAAAAACATAATAAATAAAAAATAAAAAAACTCCCAACCACTATAACAATCTTCTGCAAATTTAACAAATTACGTAACTCAAACCAAATAACAACAAAGCTTGAGTATTAACTTGATACCTTTAAGCCATAACCAGCAATAAAGCTCAATTAGAATACAAAAATTTATATTAAAATTTCGACTGACCAGGCAACTATTGGAACACTTAACAATATATTATCTCCTCCATAAATAATTTGAAGCCATCCACTCATTCTATTTTATTTTTATAAAATTCGCTAAAACATCAACATTTCTGCTCTATTTCAAAGGGTGCACTCCACACTGCTATCCCAGAACCATCAGCCAAAAAAAATGTTGTTACTACAGTTTCATCTGTTTTCTAAATTTCTGAAAAGCATAGTGACATTTTTACTCATTAGTCATTCCAAAAGGCTAAACAACTGCTAATAACACAACCAAAATATTTGCATAAACACCAAGACTACCAAGTCCAACCTTATTAATAACCCAAATGCATACCATAATGTTAGAACATTAAAAATAAGGCACAAAAGAAAAACATTCTAGAGACTATTCGGTTCGGTTCTCTGAAAACAATTTTGTGTAATACAGGATAATAACAAACAATTCTCAGAGAACTACAAGAACTGTTTTCTGAAATTAAAACCTCTTTTTTACCGAGCTTTCATTGAACAGTTTATAAAACTATCAACCAATCAATTTTCTTTTTTTATGTTTTCTGAAAAAAAGAGAACACTATTAACAGAAAACTGGATCAAGCAACTTAGCAACCCAAGTTCTCAAGAAACTGACAAGACTATGGATATCAGTGAGCCAAAATAGGCCTCCAACATATCAATGAATACAATTCAAATAAATTAGAAAAATAACAATCAAGAAGCTAACATACAAATAAAATCATAGGTAAAGTAGTAGCCTGACAACTGACAAGCACCTTAATAAAAAAGAGAATTACACATACAAAACACTTTTCCAAAAAAAAAGAAGAGAATTACTGGGAAACATACAAAACACTTTACCAATCAAAGATGTGACAAAATTACAGAAAGGAACTAAGGAAGGTTAGAGATCTTTCAAAAAAAAAAAAAAAAAAGAATTATAATTTAGTCAAGAAAGAAAATCAAAGCTAGTCTGGCATCAAAATCTTATGTAGGAGGAGAAGAAGCACATTGAATCATTGATTGCATCCCATGGATTTGAGTAAAACTATAAAAGTATAGAAAAAGAATCTGATTCATGTAAAAAAAAAACTAGGGTTTTGGGTTTACCTGCAAATCAAACACGGTGAATCAACAGCGAAACAAATTGGGTATCCTTGATCCTGCCTTCCAATTCCAATTCCGTCGCAAACGATGAAGATTTAAAACCTGAACATAACCATGGCGCCGGCGTGAGAGTCCAAGTTTCTGCTTTTGAGCTTTTCGTATCTCACTTTTGAGTTTTGAACCAAAAAAACTAAAAAGTCAAAGAAAGCGAACTTAAGAAAGTAAAGTTTTGTTTGGGTCTTTCAGTCTTTGGGCTTTATTTGGTTAGACATATTTTTTATTTTTTGTTTTGTCTGGGCTATATTTGGTACTGTGTTAGGACTTTATTTGGTAGTATATAGGTGAATGACTTAAATGGGCTTGATATACTAAAGTATTACTAATATATGAAGGCAAAAAAAAAATTTCAGGGGGGGCATTTTTGGATTTTTATAAAAATATACATATACTATTTTTTTAAAAAAAAAGAAGTCAGGGGGGGCATGTGCCCCCCCGGGCATTAGTTCCCTCCGCCACTGGATACATGGGTTTGAAGGCAGATTTCACCAACATTTTTTCCAGACGTTTTTTTTGCATATAAGGGTAGTTTGGTCTAATTAATGAATTATAAAGGTTAAAAATGAAATTCTATGATCCAAACAAGTCCACTACCAAGTCGAAGGGCAATAGTATCAATTTACCGTATCAGATGTGACAGATGAGTGCCTTTGTTAACTTTATCAAACCTAAAAGGTGGTTAATGTTTAAAAATAGACTAATTTTCATTTGACTATCAATAAAGCAAATCTCAGGGGGTGCCATTGTAATTAATCCTTAATATTTTTTTAAACTAAAATTGTTGATTTTAAATGACAATTATGCCTTCCATGTCTCTACACTCACACATGTCAGCAGTCTTTTGGCTGCTGACTTTAACTTTTTTTTCTTTTCTTTTTTCTCAACTGGGCTTTTTCTCTCTAACAGTAATGAAGCCTCTGTGCTACAAATTTAACAACTGAAAATTCTAAGGTGATATTTGGACAGAAAACACTAAGTGGGCTTATAGACCCATATTCATATTATGATGGAGTCAAAATTTCATAGTTTCGAAAAAATGTAGTTAGTATCTTTTAAGAAATAGAAGTATTGAAGCAAATGATCAGCTATTGTTTTAATTTTTTTTTTTTTAATTTTTATAATTGTAGACATTAATTAGACAATATATAAAAAAGACAGGAAAACTATACGTCAAAATGTACAAAGGAATTATTCTCTAGCAACCCAAAAAATTCTGGCACTACACGGCATTAAAACACAAATACAAAAGGTTACCTGGCACAAAAACAAATCCACAGCAAAACAATATTGGCCCAGGAAATAAAAAAACTGAAAAAAACAAACAAAACAATATTGGCCCAGGAAATAAAAAAACTGAAAAAAACAAACAAAACAAATTGTAGTCAATTAAATTAGGTGGCTAAAGTTATGAGATTGTTCTGTAGATGGTACAAATCAAGGAAAAACTTCTTTCTTATTTCCATTAGCTGCACTGTTTTTATGTACGGGATTCCTCAGATGCAATTGCTATGACTAAAGGCCTTATAAAGCAGGAAATTAACTAAGTGCGCATTCAAATGCATAAGAAAACTTAAGATTAAAAAAAATTCAGTAACTACTTTAAAATTTGACCTGAACCATACTCATCAACAAATGGAAAACACTAAAGTGACCATAAATTTCAGAATAAAAGTTGTGTTACAATTCAAAATTGACCATAAATTTCAGAATAAAAGTTGTGTTACAATTCAAAATGCAATTTATCAATTAAATTTAATTTTCCTATGATTCTCATTTGTTTCAACGATCAAGCATCAAGATAAGATAAACAAATGATGGAATCCACATAATTTAATTTGTGATACTAACATCATACTTCCTAAACCATCAAATTTAAGTACCTCGCCAATTCTAATAATTGGCGTAGAAGCCTTATAACAAAAGGTTAGCAAAAAATTGAAAAAAAACATTATAATACAACATTATTACAAAGTAGTAAAAAATTACACCCATTATTACAAAGTAGCCATATAGTGCTACGCCCATTGAAAAAAAAAAAAAACATTATAATACAACAAATTACACCCATTGAAAAAAAAATTATAATACAACATTATTACAAAGTAGCCATATGGTACTACGCCAATTCTAATAATTGGCGTAACATTATTACAAAAGGTTAGCAAAAAATTGAAAAAAAACAAAACAAATTGTAGTCACTAAGCTAGATCGATGGTTGAAGTTATGCGATTGTTCTATCTATGGTACAAATCAAAGAAGCATTTTATTAATTCTCCCGCTTTTTTTTTTTTTTTTAAGATAACTTGTTTCAAAGTTTAAGCTTCACTGTATTTATGGATGGGATTGCTCAGATGCAATTGCCATGCAACAACCATCAATATCTATGACTAAAGGCCTTATAAAGCTGGAAACTAAGTGCTCATTCAAATGCATAAGAAAACTAAAGGTTAAGAAAATTTCAGTAACCATACTCATCAACAAATGGAAAACACAAAAGTGACTACAAATTTCAGAATAAAAATTGCATTACAATTCAAAATGCAATTTATCAATTAAATTCTTTTCCTATGATTCTCATTTGTTACAACAGTCAAGAATCAAGATAAACAAATGACGCAATCCACATAATTTGTGATACTAACATTGATACTTTCTACACCACCAAAGTTAAGTGCCTCACCAATTCTAATAGGCCTAGAAGCCTTATTCCTGTGATCCCAAGAAATATATTGATAAGGTTCTGTTTTTGAAAAGTGCAGCGTCTCACCCTTGTATACAGTCACAGGACTAGAATTTGACACGAAGGTGAAAAATATTTCATACTTTTTTGGAGCCACAACAATCGAACCCACTTATCACAATCCTCTAATACCCATCTTTCTATGGCAATGCAATCACAATCTCTATCTTTCAATAAAGCCAAACGCCCTCCAATTTTATTCAAATTATACCTCCTATTGATACCATCAGGAAGTCGCAACGATCGGAACTTTTCACTACCGACATCGAAAACCACCAGAACTTGAGCCTTCACGCAAATCCAATATAACGCGCCATCAACACAAACACCTTGTCCTTTGAAAATATAAGGGCATGGTGGGACGTGGGTGATTTTTCTCCATGACTTATTATTAGCATGAGAGGTGAACACTTTTTTATGTTTCTTTGAACCGACCTTTATTGTGAACACTTCAAATTGCATGTCAGATAACCTCTTGGTGCTCGTAAAGGTTATGTGTAACACTTTGTACTCATTGTTTGAAGGATCAAATCCAAAAGAATAACTAGAGCATAAATTAGAATGACTTGCCGGTAGGCGTTTGAATTTCCGAGTGCTAGGGTTAATGACATAGACATCGCTGCCATTGTAGAAACATACTAATCCGTTAAGGGATTCTGAAACATATCTCTCCCAGCCGCCGGGCAGCGACAGAAGGCGGACCGCTGGCCCTCCTTCAAGACTTGCAGAATAGAAGTAATGCTTCGAGTCAGGACCCGAGAAAGACACAAGGATTTGGGGACCACAGGGCCGAGTTTGAGATTGGTTCAATTGCAGGTCCACCAAGGAAGGGCTGTCGATGATGGTGAGGCATCTTTTGCAGGCGGATCGGAATCTGAAAAGGGACTTCACGGGGAGTCTTGAAAGTATCTCTAAGATCAAATCTTCTGGAAGTGGAGGAATAGCCTTGCTTTTTGCTCGTCGTGTTATAGAACGATTTGGGTTTTTTGAGGAGGGCTTCTTGGCATCATCAATTCTTTTGTTGTTGTTAGTCTTTCTTGTTTGCTTCTTTCCCATTGCTGAGTTTCAAAACATGGTTTTCTCAATGTTGCAAGTTACAACTTATATATGGAGTTACCCCCGGGGCGTAGTAGTGATGGTTAGAGCTTGGGTTTTCACATAAGAGGCTCGGGTTCGACTCCTAGCCTCTGCATTCTCGGATTCACCCGGAGGTGTTCTTGGGCAGGACTCCACCCCCAGGTTTGTACCCCACGGTGGGTCCCTAAGGGGCCCTGCGTGGGGGAGTTCTTGAGTCATAAAAAAAAAAAATGTATAAGGCTTTTTTTTTTTTTTTTCTCAAATTAGGGTTTGGATTAGCCCTCCTTGCAAACACACTTTTTTCTTCTTTTTTTATTTTTATTTTTATCTTTTATTTTTTATTTTTTAGAGTTAAAATCGTAAAAACTCTTGTTATTTACAAAAAGGACATATAACCCCCCCCCCCCCCATTATTAAAAATTTCTTCGTGACGAAACCTTTAAGTTATAATGAAATGACAATAATGCCCCTGATAGTTAGGGATGGCAACTGGGCGGGATCTCATTCCCCATCTCCAAGAAAAAAATTTCATCCTCATCCTTGTCCCCATCCCGGTTTGAAATTTGACTTCAATCCCCGCCCTTCATTCCTCATCTCCGCCCCGCAATTTCATCCCCATTTAATATACACTATAATTTTCTTAACACATAATTTTTCTTATTTTTAGAAGTATGTTTATATATACTTAATACAATTTAGTAATATAGCATAATATATAAGGGTATTTTAGTAAATGTACACCCTAAATGGTGCGGGGCAGGGAAGGGTTGGTTTACCATATCTCGTCCTAGCCCTTGCCCCCGCCGAGTTTTAAAAAATTATCTCCATTTCCATTTGCATAAAAGGGTCTTCAAATCCGTTCTAAACGGGATGGAACAGGGCGACAAGAATGGAGAATTTGTCATCTCTATTAATACTATATTGATATTTTATTAAACTGAATTTGTTGATTTTAAATGGCAATTGTGCCTTTCATGTCTCCACACTTGTACACATGTCAGCAACCAACACTTTGTTTCTTTTCTTTTTTCCACATGTCCGCAACCAAACTTTAACTTTTTTCTGTTCTTTTTCCTCAACTGGTCTTTTCTCCCTCTAATAGTAATGAAGCCTCTCGACTACAAATTTAACAACTGAAAATTCCAACAGAAAACACACTTCTTTGAACCAACCTATTAACAAAAAATTCCAACAGAAAATTTTTGCACTACTTTTCTCTTTAAATCTAACAGAAAATTGATTGCTGATGAGAAGATGGTGAAGATTTAACAATAGGGATTTCTCTCTCTTTAAATCTGTAGGAAACACCTTGAGCTATCACGTGAGCTCTCTCTCTCCAGTAGCCATCTTCATTAAAAAAGTCACCCATCGGCGACCATGGGTTCCATAGATTCCGGCCACCATTTGTTTTTCCAACGCCATCTCGTCACTCTTCCCTCTCTAGCAACCAACTTCGTTTCTCCCACTCCATCCAATCTGAAGGTGCAATTTGAGGAGGAATGGCGAGGTTAGAGGTTTGGGATTTCGTTGTGAGAAATCCTTATAGAGAGAAGGTTTGGGATGAACCAGAATGACGAAGTGGGTTTTGGGTTTTGTTGGGATCACCGGAGTGAGCAGAGACATTGACAGTTATGGTTTGTTGGGTTCACTGGAATGACGAAATGGATTTTTGGTTTTATTGGGTTTACCAAAATGAGTTCATCGGTTTTGTTGTGGGTTTTTGTTGAGTTCATCGGAATGAGCTGAGAGACCACCCAGTCATCTTACCTCGCCGCCACAAATTACTGGCGCATTCAATCCATTCGTCCTCAAATACATGACAAGTCTCTCTTGGAATCAATGGACGCTATGGTCATTGGAATCCATGGAGCCTTTATAGTCGCCGATGAGATAAACGCGACAGTGGAGAAGAAGAGAGAGACTTAGGGCACGTACAAGTATGGGAAAGGGTAATTTGGTCATTACATCATTACAAGGGTATTTTGGTCTGTTAAAACTAGTAAGTGATTGTGGCGTGATTTGTTCAATTAGTTTTAGACGGAAGGGATAATATGAAAGTTTCGTTAGTTGATTGAAAATTTTTTTAGACATGGTTTTATGATTTTAACAATTTTTTTTTTTTTTTTTTTTTTTTTTTCATATTTTAAGTTATATTGTGTTAGGGGTGCACACAGTTCGATTCGGTACGGTCCTGCTGGAACCGAAACCGGTTTGAACGATTCTTAAAAAATGGAACTAGAACCGTGAGCAGTGGATTGGAACCGAAACCAGTCCATGGAATCGTTGACCAAACTGCGACCAGAAGCCGAAGATCTAAGAAGACTTTCGCCGAGACAGCGGCTAAATCCTCAACAAGTGCTTCACAAATCTCCGGCCACGGTCCACCCCTCTTCCTTTCCAAGGCTTGATATGAAAGGTTATTCGCACAAAAAAATAAATTATATATATATATATATATATAGACACACACACACTAAAAAAAAAAAAAAAAGATTACACTTGATTTTAGTTTGCAAAACAAGAATTACAGACCTTAATTAGTTGATTTAGAAAAAAATTAAAAGAAAACCCATACATACAAATTAGCAGTTGCACAGAGAGAGGGGGGAAATCTTAAGAGTTGAGAGACAACGGATGAAGCTTATGAACGATGAACCCGAACTGGAACAGCAAGAGATGGAAACTGAAAGATATGGGTTTTGATTTTTTGAACAATCTTGAAATGATATGCCGATATAGGTTTTGAACTTTTGATTCTTGCAGACAGATCTGAAATAAATGGGTTTTGAACTTCTGATTCTTATAAATTTTGTAGATCTGAAATATATGGGTATGGGTTTTGAACTTCTGATTTTTGTAAATTTTGTAGTTTGCAGTTGCAGAGAGAGACGGACAGAGAAAGAGAGAGATACGGACAGAAAGGGAGAGAGGGCAAGTTTAGAGTTGAGAACGAGAATAGATATGGAGGCGCTTGGGGAGGCTGAAATGATTTGCCCTAAATTTTTTTTTAAAAAGGTTTATAAATTAGAGTTATTAATATTAATAATTTAATCAAATATATGTATAATATATATATATATGTACATATATATATATATATATATATATATATATATATATTACGGTTCGGTTCGATTCTGGAACCAAACCGTGAGACCGGAACCAAAATCGAACCGAATCTCAACGGTTCCTCATTTTACGGACCGGAATTGGAACCATGAGAACCGGAATTTCGGTTCCGATTCTCAGGATTCCGGTTCCGGTTCTACGGTTCTTTTGTGCACCTCTATATTGTGTATATATTTATTTCCAAAATTCAAACTTAATATTTTGGATTAATAGATAAATGTTTTTAAAATATTAATTGTTGATGCGAAAATTCTTGCAACCTGGAACAATAGCGTTTACCTGTAAAACAAAGGACGTCACCTCGAATGGCACCAGTGCGGTACTGGTCGAGGTCCCTACGACGATCAAGTCAGTACTCATAATCTATTACAGAATAATTATGTATTCAATGTTTAGGGGTTTTTTTCTCATACCTTCTATAATGGCTCGGTGCCCTATTTATGGCTGTCGATTAGAATCAAATTGGTTCAGCCAATGTCGATAGTTAAGATCAACCTTATCATCAATAACGGGATCTGTTGTGATACCCCCTAATTTCGGAACACGGGTTGATCAAGTCCGCGCACAAAATCAGGGAAATATCAAAACAATTAAAGTATTTAAACAAGCACAGAATACAAAGATGAATAATAAAGAATAAATAAACTGCTGAAGAAAACTAATAAATAAAAATTTCATTAATTAATAATTCTCCAACAATTACAACTTGGAAATTCCGTAACTCAAGGACCCCTTAAAACATCATCCAATAATCCAATACTACTTAAAAGTACACAAGATGAATAGATGAGTCTCCCAGTTGCGGATCCTCAACCTTGAGACTGAAACTTCTAATAACCTGAAAAATAAATCGTGGGTTAAACCCTACGAGCAAGTTCTCTCTACCAGACCTCTAAAAATCAATAAGTAGATCATCTCTGACCAAAACCAAACCTAATAAAGTTTTAAGTTTAATAAACAATGATACGATATACATAATTATATACAGTATAACCTTCACATCCATTAATAGTTTCATTAATTTTCGAAACCCTTAACTCATGTTTAAAACATAATCATACTTAAACCAATTCAGAACGCCTTCTCTTTTAGAAAGAACTCATTTAACCTTAACTCCATCCTAGACAGCAATTTAATAATCTAAACAATAAAATATAATTAAAAGAACATTATCTTAAATTCCAAAATCAATAATGATTTTAAGTATTTAAATCACACAGCCAATATCTAAGCTTTGACAAATCAACTATGTCACCACCCATATTATTTTATTAATATGTATAAAAATAATACACTAACCTGTCAGTACCAGATTATTCTAATTTAATAATATCTAATCCTAATCCAACTTATACATATAATAACCATAGATGATATATTTTAATCATCTAACACATAGCAATATTATTACACTTTGGCAAATCAACCATGCCTCTACAAGTATATTTATTTATACATTGGCAATTCAACCATGCCTCCATGTATGTATATTTATACATTGGCAATTCAACCATGCCTCTACAAACATATATATTTATATTTTTAAACTAGCAAGTCGTCCATACTTCCTACGTATGTATTTTATTCATACAAATACTTAGGCATTATATTTACACCTATGGCAACTCATTCATGTCTACAATTCAACCATGTACCAACTTCAGACCCAATGATAGCTAATTCATACATAACCATCTCATGCAGATTATAAGCATGTCACAAATTTACTAACCAGCCTATCCAGATATATCAAATAAGAATAATAATAATAATAATCATCTCAAATAATATATATACATATACACATATATTATTTAATATGTATATATGTGTATAATACCTTCCTTAAT